ATGGATTCCACTTATAAATAACCCTTCAAGTGGCGAAGGTCTCTCTCGACACTTTTCCCATCTTAGTCTTGCTTCATTGACAAACCCAAGCTTTGTTGGTGATTGAATTTGCTTGGACTTTTTTTTTTTAAGATAGTTGAAGGTATATTCAAGGTATTCATGTGCCTGAAATGTCAAGTGAGGATAAACCAATATGGGGTTTTACCAATTCTGGGAAATAGACTGTCAAATCTGGATATTGGAAGGTTTAGAAAAACACAAAATCCGAATATCACCTAATATATCTAGAGATAACCCTATTTGGACTTGGATTTGAAGCTGACAATACCACTCAAAGGGTTCATTTTTCTTTGAAAATGTCTTTACAATATTCTACCGGTTAAAAGTGTTTTGAAAGCTCGTCATTTATTAGTGGATACAGCTTGTCCAAGATGCCTAACTGTCAAGGAAAATTTGGAGCATTTATTTTTTCAATCCCCAGAGTCACAACTGTTGGGTATACCTCCTTATTGGAGTTTGAGACCCAATTAATTTTGATTAAAAAATTTTAATTTGGTTTGGTTTGGGTATAATATATTTTATATATATTATATCTAATTTGTGGAGACCCAATCTAATTTGGTAACAACTAGGGTTTTGATGGAACAAGCCCAAAAGTTTAGATATATATATTGTTCAATAATATATTTGAGGAAGATATATTGTTTTCTTCTTCCAAGAGAGTAGCTGCCGATTAATTCCTCTCTGTGAGATAATGTGCTGCTACAAATTATATTGATTGAAAAATCAATTCGGTGGGTTACAAAAAGCTGATCAGATCACACAATATTTTATAAACATTCAAAAAATAGTAAAATTGCAATTTTGATTGTTTATGTTGATGACATCATTTTAACTGGTAATGATGAAGCTGAGTTAGCAGCCCTCAAAGAGAAACTCGCAAAATAATTTCACATTAAGGATCTGGGAGCCCTCAAGTATTTCCTCGGAATGGAATTTGCAAGATCCAAGGAAGGTATATTCGTTAATCAGAGAAAATATGTTAATGCTTGGTTGTAAGATGGTGGAGACTCCGATCGAGCCTAACTTGAAGTTACAAGCTGCTAAGGCTGAAGAAGTCAAAGAGAGGGAACAATATCAGCGACTTGTAGGGATATTGATTTACTTGTCTCATACGCGGCCTGATATTGCCTTTGCAGTCAGCATGGTAAGTCAGTTCATGCACTCACCAGGGACAGAGCACTTTGAGGCTGTTTATAAGATCTTAAGATATTTGAAAGGAACTCCAGGGAGAGGCTTACTGTTCAAGAAACATGGACATCTTCAAGTTGAAGTATACACAGATGCAGACTGGGCAGGAAGTGTTACAGATAGGAGATCAACATCCGAATACTGCTCCTTTGTAGGTGGGAACCTAGTTACATGGCGGAGTAAAAAACAGAATGTGGTAGCTAGAAGTAGTGCAGAAGCAGAGTTCAGAGCTGTTGCCTATGGAATCTGTGAAGTAATGTGGATTAAAAGAATTCTTGAAGAATTAAAGCTTTCTCACCCGACATTTATGAAGGTCTATTGTGACAACAAAGCAGCTATATCTATAGCTCATAATCCAGTTCTACATGATCGCACAAAACATATAGAAGTGGATAAACATTTCATCAAGGAGAAAATCAATGCTGGCATAATCTGTATGACCTACCTCCCAACAGGTGAACAATTAGCTGATGTGCTAACGAAGGGACTACACAAGAAGCAATTTGATAAGCTGACTAGCAAGCTGGCTATGGAAGATATCTTCAAACCAGCTTGAGGGGGAGTGCTGGAAATTTGTGTTCATGTATATAATGTGATAGTGGTGTTGGTGGAAGATAGTGGCATGTATAGAATATGATAGTGGTGTTGGTGGAAGATAGTGGCATGTATATCATATGATAGTGGTGTTGGTAGAAGATAGTAGCATGTATAGAATATGATAGTGGTGTTGGTGGAAGATAGTGGCATGTATATAATATGATAGTGGTAGATAGTGGTAATATATAATATGTAAGTGGCATATAATGAGTTATTATGATGTTTGTAATATCTCCTATATAAGGAGTGTCATTTGGTCTTGTTAAGATAAGAAGTTTTGAATATAACAGAAATATATTCCTTCTTCCCCATATTTTCGGAGTTCTTCTTCCTCATATTTTCTAAGTGTAAGTAAAAGAAATGGGTAAGGCTGGGAAAGGAGATGAATGCCAGGCCAACTATGAAGCACAAATACTCCAAAAAAGGTCACATACACGTATCGGATACTTTTCGGATACGGATACACATCCGATATGGCTAAAGAGTATCTGAAAATCATTTAGTATTTTTTCAATTTTGGATACGTTTCAGATGCGGGAAGGATATAGCGGGGGAAAACATAAAATTTTAGCCATTTATTAAGGGTCAAATTGTAAAATTATAAATTTTAATACAAGTAAAAAGATACCAAACATATGCTACTACTTGAGTACTTGGGGAATGATCAAACGAATAACAAAGGAAAAAACTTTATCCTCTAGAGAAACAACCCCCCCCCCCCCCCCCAAAAAAAAAAAAAAAAGCAGTACCATCGACTTCCAAAGGTCGATCCTCTCTCTTCCTTTTTTCCTATCTATCTTCATCTTCACCAAAATACCACTCTCTCTCTCTCTCTCTCTCTCTCTCATGATGAGGAATAAGCAGAAATTGACATTGACATTATTTACTTGGTATAATTCTTTTTATTAGCTTGCTTTAGGATTTGGCATGCTATATTACACGATCTCTTCACAATAAATCAAAAACCCTTGTTGAACACTCAACACTTGGATAAGGGTATGGGACATGTGTAACAAATTTTTATTGGACTATATATTTCTATTTAACACTATTATTTTATACATATTGTTGTATAATTGTTGTAAATGTCTTTTTGACCCTGTATATTACATATAAAACCATGTTATTTCACATAAAAGATTAAAAATATAAAAATATGACATGTTTTTGCTGAGACTTGTGTTGTGTACTCTAAAGTTTAAGGTTTGATGAGTCTGATCTCTAGATACACGCAGCCAACACCTATAGTCGAGTCCATATAGCATAGTTGGCATGTACTGAATCTGTTTGATGTTAACTAAATAAATAAACTGTTATTTTTTGTTTTATTTTATGCATATGACATTATTAAAAATTGTAGAAATTTAATGTATAAAGAGAAATGATTGTATTATTGATTGTTATAATGTTATATATATTACAATGATTCATGATTCCTATATATAGAAGAGGGTGAGTGTGTAGTAGGTAAGGAGTAGGTGAAGTGGAGGTGGTAGTAGTGTAGTGGGTTAGGTTTAGTGGAGTAGGTGAGGTGGTAGTGGTGTAGTGGGTTAGGTTTAGTGGAGTAGGTTTAAGTGGGTGAAGGTTTAGTGGAGTAGGTAGATTTTAACAGCCCCCGCAAACTCAAGGGGGATAGGAACTAACCAACTTGAGTTTGGAGAGAGTAACAAAACAAGAAAATACATAAAAATAAAAGAGGATAGGAGACACTGTATGGTCGTGTCAGACCATTGGTGAAGACACTGGATGGTGGTGTCATAACGTTGTAGAGGACACTGTATGGGGGTGTCATAACGTTGTAGAGGACACTGTATGGTGGTGTCATAACGGTGTAGAGGACACTGGATGGCGGTGTCAGACCGATGTAGAAGACAGTTTATGGGGTCATGTTGGACCGTTGTAGCAGACAATGTTGTGACAGTTTACGGAGTCTTGCTGGACCCTTGTAGAAACTAACCGGAATCAATGTCGGGATAGTTTACAGAGTCTTGTCGGACCCATGAAGGAGCTAACCGGAATCAATGCCGGGACAGTTTATAAAAATATATTTTTTACAAATGTATCCCTATCGTACCCTGTATCCTACTTTTTTAGGTTTTGTCATAACACTGTATCCGTATCGTATTTTAGGTTTTGTCATAACACTGTATCCGTATCGTATTGTATCTGTATTCGTGCTTCCTAGTAGGCCAATGGTGGTCAATAGGGAATTTTTGTGAGATGGATTGTAATGTGTATTTCAACAGACATTGTATAGTAAGAGAGTAGTTCAATACGGCTATAGGTGACGTTGGTGCTAAAAATAGGGATTTGTTAGCGAAAAGGTTATGGAGGTTTCCTTTGGAAAGAGGCTCTTTGTGGTATATTGTAATTGAAATTAAGTAAGAGGTTCAAGCCATTGGGTGGGGCTTTAGAGTGGTTAATGGGGAAAATTCTTCCTCTCCTTGGAAGTGCATTTCTCAAGGGTTGGATTCTTTTTCAACACTAGTGAGTTTTGTGTTAGGTAATGGGGAGAATATCTGTTTCTAGGAAGATGTTTAGATTGGGGAGATTTCAAGAGGCTAATGAGTTGGCTTCATTGTTATCCATTCTTGAGGGTGTTTCATTGAGACAACAGTATGACTTTAATTGATAATCTAAAATTTTGTACTAATAATTGCATACTTTCGAAGATGAAGCTCACAAATATTGTGTTCATAATCATGTTATAATACCACAGTTATTACTCTCAACATTTATTTTCTGTACAACTATAATTTTTCTTATATTACATGTGTCCATTGGATACTTCAGTTGTTTTTACTGTGTGTGAGCAAGAATTGTTGAATGGTGAAGATGATTTTTGTAGCCACCTCAAGTAGTCTGGAACTCTGGATATATAAGGCTTGTTGAGTTGAGTATGTATGATAATCGTTAATGTTAAATGAGGAAGTTCTTTAAATGACTAACACATGTTAATTAATATTACACAACCCATTTTATCAAATCGTAGGTGTACTTTGTGGTATACTTTCAGTTTTGTGCTGATTTTCTCTTTCTTTCTTTCATTCAAGTTGATAGCTGTGGTTTCTATAGATGCTCTGCTATTGACATTATATTTTTGATTTGGCTTGCATTCATCCATCTAATATTATCGCAATGTGTTTCAACAGATTAAAGAACATCTAAATGCGGATTCAGTCATTGTGAAGGATGCTTATGGTGATGGTCGGCATGTTAGGTATGCTTAGCTGTTCACTCTCATACTAGCAACAAAGCGTACTCGATCCATCCTCCTTTATTTATTTATTTAAATCTTCTTCTTTTTTCTTTTTTTTTTTGTTACTTCTAATGGCCTATTGGTTGGAACTTACTTCTTGAAATTGTGGGATTAGAATGGCAGTTTCAAGCAAGAGTTAGTTCGTATGATTTAGTTGGCTTTTGGAAGTGAGTACATTGTACATGAAATTGTTGTCAGTGAAAATATACTCATTTACCTTAACCAAGTGTCATGGCAACCTAAATTTCTTTAAAGGAGTCCAAAGCTGTTAGATCATATGACTAGTGAAGCCAATCTTGTGTCAGTTAAATTGAAAAGAATTGAAAATGGAACAAACTACATGAAGATTCACCATGCTCCATTTGCAAAATTAGACTTCTATATATTATGTTGTTTTATAGTTGTGCCTTTTCCTTCAACATAACTCGACCCCCCGAACCCTAAACTCCAACTTGTTTTACATATATTATTAGTCATCGTGTTGTTTCTTACGCCTTAAACATGTGCTCTTTTTTATTTCCTCTTTTCATTTTACAAACTTCAACTTGGGTCAAATTGCTCTTCCTGTTAGGAATGCATCCTTTCTGAAGGCATTATAGGTGGCATATAAGGTGAGGAACAACTGCATTGGTAATGGTGGTAGACCCTATTTCACGAGGGATTAAAAGTGGACTTTTCTTCAAGTTGCCACTTACCTATCTCAGTATTCTTAATCCAGCTAAGCATCTTCATAGATAGGGATGGCAATCCAACCGGTCCCTCTTTGACTCTGCCCCATCCCCGTCCCGATAGAAAGGGAGTTTTTCCTTTTTTTCGGGTTAGGGGCAGGGTTGGGGATTAATTTTAAAAATCTGATCGAAGACAGGGTGGGGGCGAAGTCAGGAATAAGGCTCCCTGCCCCTACACGTGCGCAACCCTGGCCCGGTAATTTTTTATTTATTTATTTTTTGTTTCCTTCTAATAATAATAGGTGTAGGGTGTAACACAAGTCTTGAACACTTGACCCTGTGGTAAGTGAGAAGATGTAATTTGGGTATTATTGTTATTTTATTTTTGGGTTAATGGTGCTATTGTATTTTTGTCATCTTTAGTCATTAGAGTTGTTTTCTATTTAATTTGTATTTCAACAGACATTGTATAGTAAGAGAGTAGTTCAATACTATTTCTTTTTTAAACTTACAATAAGAATTCAAACACTCTAACAAATTAAGCTACTTCATTGTTGTTACCCTTATTTTGTAAAATTATATTATATTTCTCTTATCTAATCAATGTTTAAAATCTCTCCAGAAGTTTCATCGCCTCATGATACTCACCCTCCCTCCTTTAATATGCCTTTATGTCTCCTTCACTCTCTCTGGTCTAACCTGGCCTATGTATTCCTCTTGGAATGCCTCCAATACAGGAATGTTCCCATGCTTCACATCATACCAAAACTAACTCTCTTACTGTCACTGATCACAAACTTGACATGGGTATAGAAATCTTACCGCTACTTTTTGATCTCTCAAGAACTCGAACTTGTGTCAGGTCCAAATTTAAACTGCTCACCCTCCTCTGATTGCAACCCTCATTCATAACATAGTGTCTAAAGTCCAGCTATTACTACTTATGTTACCAAGCTTGATTTGCACTGTCTAAAGTCCTGAATACCATAGTGACCTTCCTTCGTCAAGGTACAAATCTTATCTCAATCTACATAGTGATATTTGCACTAAAGAAGGAATATTGAAGAAAGGTGAAGTACGTGGGCAAGCTAGATACTCAAACGAAGCCTTGTCCCAACTGCTTGTTATCAACTATATTAATCCTATTTTGCCATTCTCGACAATCAAGATTCATAATTTCACTTAAACTATAAGCTACCTTATTATCTCAATCCATGTTAGTTTATTTCTTCCTTGTCCTCCAGCATTACTAGCAGTAAGGAAATTTTTACTGCCTCATGGAGGCAATTATCGGTTTTTGTTTACATTACTAAATCGGTTTTCTCTCATTTCGTAGGTGCTACCTCTTCTAATGACTTCATTAATTCGTAACCCTATCTTTCCTAGTTTTGACTTACGAAGCACAAGTGTGGATGTGGATATACTGGTAGAAGTATGTTACAGGTATGCCGATACAGCAAGACCAAAAGCAAATAGGATACGGTTAAGGTGGGGGTATGTCAATAAATTTTTTATTTTTTATAATTTATAGATTCAACCTATAAATCAAAGTTAAATACCAAAACTAATAAGAGAAATTACAAAACTAAAAGAGAAATTATAGCTCAACAATACCAATACCAAGCAAAGTCCATAAGCTATTTCAATGCCGTTAAATAGGAGAAATTACAAAACAAAGTTTCATTCCAAAAGCAAGCTAAGCAAAATTTAAAAATTTAAAACTTCAATTTCACTTCCATCAATTTAATGATTAAATAATACATCTTTCATCTCTAACACATCAAGTAAATGATTTGCAATTTCAAGCAAATTAGGACTCTCTAATAAATTAAATATATCTCCACCAATGTCCCATAGCTGGGTGTACCCCTGATATACCCATCTTGTACCCACAAAGAACCCAACTGCCAAAGAATGTATAAAATGTATCTGGTACATATTTCTAGTACCTGGTATGCATGCAACCCTATCGGTATGCGTACCAATACTCAGTATGAGTACAACATCATTTTTAGAGTATCCGTGCTTCATAGGTTTTGACACAAATCCACCCAACATGTTTATTTGTGACACTCATTTTGTGAGTATGTTTCTTAACTACCTAACATTCTATACTACGACAAGCATGGTTAGTTTTATAGAATTTTCCTTTCAATCTCATGGTTATTCGTCCATTAAAAAATATGCCAAACCACTCCTCCACTTTGTTCATCTTACCCTAATTCTCTAAGTCACATCATTTTGAATAATTTTTCTTTAAATTGGAGTCTCAACACCGTCAAAACATCTTCTACTATGCTCCCCCCAAATGCTCCACGTCAAAGTCAAAGGTCCCAAACACAAGCCCTTCTCCTCCCATCAACTCTAGCTCCCCCTCCAAGCAAACAAGAACTTCAAATTTGTAGCTAGGAAGGCCCACTTCATGTCAAATAAAGCCTACAATAAAGTCCAAAGCTCCCAGGTCACTGAGCAGTGAATAAGAAGGTGATCCACTGATTCACCAGTTCACTTGCACATGCAGCACCAATTCACTTTAAACAAAAAAAAATTCGCGTGTCGCCCATCTAGACCAACAAAAAAATCTAGCTTAGATGGAGTGTTTGTCCCCCAAATTGCTTTCTAAGGGAAAGGAAAGGACATCTTGTTGCCCAATAGAACACTATAGTAAGATTTCACCTCGAACTTCATGGCCTTCAACCTCTCCAAAAACATGACATCCTATCCTGCCTCGAAATAGTATTCATAATGCTTCCCAAGTAGATTCACCAACTCTGCCACCTCCTAATCATGCAACTCGCAATAGAACAAGCAACCCTATCAACCACAATCTTGGCCCATACCAACATTTTTTAATACCTTCCAGAGGCTTGACCAGAGGGCACAAAAATCTCCAAAGGCCCCCAATCTATGAAGCACAGGTACGGATACGGATACGGATACGAGTACTGGTACTGGTACGATACGGGTACGTCAATACGGTAAAATTAAAAAAAAAATAGGGTACGAGTACGGCTTGGTACGCTCGTAAAAAAATATTTATTTTTAATTTAGAGTAATGTAAAAATTAATTAAATGGTTTAATTTGTTAAGGTCCAACCTATAATTAACATTTAATACCAAAAGGAAAAGTATAAATCAAAATTAAATGTCAATATATTAAATAACTTACAAACTATAGTTTAATTTTAAAATCATGTTAAGTATAAAAAAAAAAACACTAAAAAAGAAATTTAGTAAAATGAGTTTTATCTCTGTAGTAGAAGGAAAAAATTGTTTCAACTGAGGTACGGAATGACTTGGATATGTACTAGGTACGTCTGGATACATTAAAAATTAAGAAGAAAAAATTTGGGTACGTGTTTCGTGTACCCGGTACGTATGTAGAAGTACCATATGAGGTACGGTACGCCGGTAAGTACCCGGTACGGGTACGGCATGTTTTTCGAAGTACCCATGCTTCATAGCCCCCAATCACTCCACAAGCAGCCATACTTTGCCCAAATCACCCTCCTCCAAATTTTGACTCTCTAGCAAGCATACCACTCCCCAAGAGTGCTTTATTGAAGGTACTATATTGGTGAATCCTCAACCCTCTTCTATGTTACACGGACTCTTCAAAGTAAATTAAATACTCATGTCAAACACCCGACACTTGGACAAGCGTATGGGATATGTATTGAATACTTTTCATGAAACACTTTTTATATATTTGTATTTAACACCATTATTATATGTATATATCGTTGTATAATTGTTATAAATGTCGTTTTGACACCGTATATTATATATAATACTATTTTATCTCATTAACAGATTAAAAATATAAAAATATGACCTTTTTTTTTGCCAAGTCTGTGTACATTTAAATTTAAGGTTTGATGAATCCAATCTTTAGATACACACCCATACCCGACGTCCGTGTCCGAGTCCATTTAACATAGACCCTCCTCTGTCATGGGGCACGAATTGAATCCCAATCCACCAAGTGATACTTGAACTCATCATCCATACCTCCCTAAAGGAAATCCCTTTGTGATTTCTCCAACCTTTTTTCCAAGGAAAGAATGGTAAACAAAGACGTGAAGTTGGTGGGAAGCTGAAGAGCGCTCTTGATCAAAGTAAGCCTTCCTATTGACACTTCCACCCTACCAACCGCTTAGATCTATCTAAACCTAAAAGTTTGCCCCCTTACGGAAAATTGAATGATTCAAAGCAACTGTTTTTACGGTCCAATTTCAAACTAAGCTAGGCGAGAATTCTTTTCAAACCTAAAAGGCAAACAAAAGTCTAATTTCTTTCCTTATCTCATGCAAACAGTTGCTTTCAATTGAACAATTTTCAGTTCTCTCTAGAGATTGCACCACCTAGCTTAGTTTTAAAATTGGAGATACTGCTGGAGTTTACTCTACTTGAGGAAACAGTAGCAAGCAAATCCCCTTGTTGGAGCATTTATATATGTGGGTGGTTAGGTGTGAGCTATGTGGGTATAGATGGCTATCCTTGTAGATTATGATAAGATGTCCGTCATGCAACTTCTAGTAGAACTCCTTGCCATTCCAGAGCATTGACCCAAAGTGAGGGTATGCATGTGTTTAATATTTCCATTGATGTGAGTCTGTCCGTCATTATCCATGTCTAGGAGAAGTCTATAAAAGCGAATAATTTCTTAACCAGCACCTCTAATTACTAGCCCTGCTCATCCAGCCAACCAAAGTGGGGAAATTTGTTCAATTCTGAGCATGTGCAATTCTGCTGCCATTGATTGAAAGCATCTTAAGTCATACAGTTAAGATAAAGACCGCAAAGATGAAATTCCTTCGTTGTGGATGAGTTGTGAAGTTTGTGGAGTTCCTGTGTCTGACACTAGCCAATTGTTAGGCATATGCTTCAGTATATTCTTTTGAGAACTGATAGGAAAAACACATTAGGATGCTCATATTTGAAATTCTGTCTTCTTTACCATTGTATTTGAAAATAAATTTCTTATTCGGAATGCTTGTACCCTCCAATAACTCATACTACCCATACTAATGATATATGCATATGCGGCTGTCTTCCTGTGATTAATAACTTCAATCAAAGTAGAGCTTAAATATGAGTTGTGACAATATAATATGTATATCTTACTAACTGCTGTGGGGTTGTATCGAAGATATCAAATATGAAATCCTTTCATATTGGATGCTTTAAATCAGATTGCGTCCTAGAGCTGGTTTCTTCAGGTCCCCGTTCCTAGTAACTGTATGTTGCTCACCTTTATGGCTTCATTTCTGTAAAGAACCATGTCTGTGTAGAATGCACATTGCAGATTGCCTTCATCTTTCAATCATAATAGTTGTCATTTAATTTCAGCTGTGTGTTTGCAGCATTGATGTTATTTCCTCGGCATTTGAAGGACAATCTGCTGTGAGTAGGCAGAGGATGGTATACAAAGCCATTTGGGAGGAACTCCAGAGTATCGTGCATGCAGTTGACCAGATGACTACCAGGACCCCTACTGAAGCAGCAGCCAAAAAGTGATAAATCATGATTGAAGAGAGAATAAAGACTAAAGCTTATTTTAATAAATTCACTTGCGGTATTGTCTAATGAATTAAGATTTATACAGCTTAGCCACCTTTTCTGTGTACTTGTTCATCTGTAGACTTCAGTTCCAATTTAACTGGAAAGGGAGCCTAGTATATTGTTAAAAGGTTTGTTGAGTATGTTGTATATTGTTGTCTGCTGCTGCAGCCTTCAACCTCATTGATCTGCACCCCCATAGCTGCCTTCAGCCACATCCATCTCCGCTGCCGCTGTTGCTATTCTCAAGACTCAAAACAGTTGTCACTGTTTTGGAGCAATCATATAAATCTGAACAGTGTCATTGTTGCTCGTAACCACCATTGAGATATGAATCTTTGTTAATTCGCAACCACCATTCACATCTCAATCACCTCACGATCGTCAACTCTACTCTACTCACTGGCTTTTCCTCTCTTTCTCACTCACTCACTCACTCACTTTCTCTCTTTCTTTCTCTATCTATCTTTTTATTCTTCTTCATCGATCTCTCTATGCTTTTTATAATTTGTTTATTTTTTATCCCTTTTTTTGTTCAATATTATTCTTCTAGTTGACTGTGTTGTTTGGTGGACATTTTTTGTTGTAATGATGTAAAAACATTTAGATTTTGTTTAGGTTCGAATGCAATTAGTCAGTTGCAATTTCACTAGATTTGGTGAGTGAAATTTCTTGGACTCTAGTCTAAATTCGAATTTTCACTAATAAGTCTGGATTTAATTGATCGAATCCAATCAATGCAACTCTAATCACAATGCTTATATTATAAAAATTCAATTCAATTTCAATTTTATACTTTTTAGTCATTAATTGAGAAATTTTTATTTTGAAAAAAATTGAAAATTCATTGATTTAGAGTAAAATTCAGTGAATTTAGAGAATTTTTCTCATCACTGTGCTAAGATATTGATTTTTTAATTAACTTTTTTAATTTGCAATTTTACCCATCATTTGAATATATATGTATATTTGATTTTCAAAATAATAAACATAATAAAATCTCCATGCAAGAATTACAATTTTCGATAATTTTTTGGCGAAGTGAAATTTTGTTGTGCTAAGTTGGTAAAATTTTACATCCTTGCTGTTTGTCATAAGTCATCAAAAAGCGATCGTTGTCAACCAGCAATAGTCACCGAAAAATTGTTGTTGGTCTCAATGATCATCTGCAACAAGCAAATTGTTGTTGTTGGTCATCTTCAATGATGGCAAAACTTATTGTTGGTTGTCGGCGGTGGTAATCTAAGGTTGTCGAAGGTGGTGTTGGGTAATGAAAATACACTGAAGGTAGTTTTGCCTAAAAAGAGATTTAGAGCCTTTAAGTTAGGAAATATATTTTAGTTGTTTTTAAATTAATACAAAATATTTTTTAAGGAATTGAGTAAAAACTATCTTGTGATTATTTTTTTATTTTTGGTAATGATTGATATAAGGAAATATATAAATACGAGTCTCGTCTAATTTGGAATCTTTATTTGTCTTATTTTTGGGTACATCGATATGGATATATTAAATGAATTTAAATAAGTAAAGTTAAGCATAAAAAAATTAACAAAAAAATATTAAAAGAGATGTATTTGAGTTAACAAAGGGTCAAAAGGACGAAAAAATAATAACAATTGTACTCAATTTTTTACAAAAAAAATTAGATAACCTTTTATTTTGAAATGGAACATTTATAGAATTTCCATAAATATTATTAGTTAAGCATTCACCCAAAAAATTGGAAAAATGATTACTGACATTTGGTGGGGCCATTTCCCTAAATAAGTCAAATTATCAATTCAATTCCCAAACTAAGGGGTTGTTTGGGGTGTCCTAAATAAGTGTACTTTTTGACTTTTTATGAAATATGGGTTGGGTATGTGTTGGTTTGAAATGATGTGATAGAGAGGTGATGTGACTTAAATAGGATGATATGACTTTAATAGGATAGTGACTTTTTAACTTTTTGAATTTTTTTAAAGATGCCAAACTTGACCTAAATCTAGTTTTGAAAGAATTCTCAAAATAGGCTAAAACGTGATTCACAACCACGCTTTCAACGTCTGTGTACCTGTCCCGCGTGAAAATTAGGAAGTCTTAAAAGCGTGGTTACAAAACGCGCTTTTAATTAATAAAGCACGGTTACAAAAGGCGCTTTTAATTAAATTTTTTTCTTCTGAAATCGCTTTTCTGAACCATGCTTTTAACTTACATTGTTTTTCTTCTAAAAGCGCGGTTGTGAACCACACTTTTAACAAAAAAAAAATTTCTTCTGAAATCATGGTTATGAACCACGTTTTTTGGCAAAAAAAATTTTCTTGTAAAAGCGTGTTTGTGAACAACGCATTTTACACTACACCAATTATTTAGTTTCAGTTTAACTGAACTCTGAAGAAGAAATTTTTTTTTTTTTTGGTTTTTTTTTTTTTTTTTTTTTGTTGTTGTCATTATTTTGGTGATAATGTATTTTGGATTAAAAAGTGATAATGTAATTCAGAAATTTCTTTTCGCTTTACTAAAGCCGTTTTCATGTAAAGTTTTTTATTTTTTATTTTTTTCTCTTGTCTTTGTTTTGGGTTAGAAGGTGTTATTCAAAAATTTGTTTTGGCTTTACTACAGCCGTTTTCATTTAAATAATTTTTTTTTCTGTTGTCTTTGTTTTGGGTTAGAATGTGATAATGTAATTCAGAAAACCTTGAGAAAAAAACACATAAGTCTCCCACAAAAATACATAGGTAGTACAGACATAAGTCTCCGACAACAATACATTCTGGACACCATGAACTGAACACACAATACATACATAAACATAACAGTTAGACAGACAAATATTAGCCAGACAATCTGACAAACTCATTACGGAAACACTTAGTCTAACACAGACATTACACATTAATGCATGACCTAATATTGCCGAAGTGTAGACATTAACACCTAATTCGCGCTTAAATCAGTAGGTGGCTCAGAGTCTGAATAATCCGAAAGCTCAGAGTCAGAGACAAGCTCAGGATCCTCCATGATACCCTTGATAGCCGCAACATTTGGTTCTGTTCTGTTCTTCTGAGCATCCTTCTTAACTATGTATAGCTGCATATCGCGGGCTAACCTACGACGCATTTGAAAAATCTCACGTTGTAGTCTTTCACATAGTCAATCAACATTGTCAAGATCTTCCTTTTGGATCTCAACAGAACGTGCTTTTGGTACCTTTAGTCGATTTTCCCGACATAATCTTTCCATTTGCACTCGCTCTATAAATAGTGCGGGCCACTTCAGAAGTCTAGCATTTGCTAAACCATATCCTGTTTGATTATCTGATGAATCCTCCACCAAACCACATGGATCTCGATAGTACTTGGGCATGACAAAATGTCGCCTCCCAAACCTATCATGATAAGCACAAGAGGCATCTAACAAAGTAAATGGTGTTTCATCTTCAGCATCGCCACTTTCCCTTCCCCCTCCTCGTCGTGAACTATCACTCCTTTGCAAGTTCCTACCACCTCTGCGATTCCCACTCCCTCCCATGAACCATGTAGCTATGCTAATTTTTTAAAACAAATGAATGATAATTTCGTATGGCGAAATGAGTTGTAAGGTTGTGTCTTCACCTTTAGTCATTTAAATAGTTGGTTATGAACAGCTTTAGAAAGATGCCCCTGCATGACAATCCCACATATACGAACAAGGTATGAGTTGTCACTAGAATGAAAAAACAGAGAAAAGCAAATATGTGTACCAAGTCACGTGACTTGACAATCCATCTGCATATACCGACAAAGTAAGGGCATGTTCACTGCAAGGTAAATAAGTTAATTCACTGTTGGCATGTGACTTTCTGAATTGAGAATCATTGTAATTAAAAAAATCGAGCAAAAAATCGATAAAACCAAAGCTTGTGCACCAAGTCACATGACTTGACAATCCATCTGCATATGCCGACAAAATAAGGGCATGCTCACTGTAAGGTAAATCAGTGAATTCACTATTGCCATGTGACTTTATGAATTGAGAATCCCACATATATCAATAAGAGATGAGTTGTCACCGTAATAAAAAAATCGAGCAAAAATTTGAGAAAACCAAAGCCTGTGCACCAAGTCACATGACTTGACAATCCATCTGCATATACCGAGAAAATAAGGGCATGCTCACTGTAAGGTAAATCAGTGAATTCACTGTTGCCATGTGACTTTATGAATTGAGAATCCCACATATATCAAATTGGTGTTCAGTTGTCACTGTAATAAAAAAAATCGAGCAAAAAATCGAGAAAACCAAAGCCTATACACCAAGTCACATGACTTGACAATCCATCTGCATATACCGATAAAATAAGGGCATGCTCACTGTCACGCCCTCAAAATAATACATAAAACCCACCATTTTAGACATGCAATGATGTACGAGAAATAAATATCTTTCTATTAATCAGAGTAGCTCTTACAGAAATATTACATGCTACTAACAAACAAATGCCCTGCGGGCTTACAACTTTCCAAGTTAACACTTGGTTACAAAAAGAGAAGAGTACTAATTGAATACATCTTAAGCCCTTGGCTTGAATTTACAAATAATACATCAAAGAAAGAAAAACAACAAGAGCAGTCTGTCTGCCTCTAGCCTTCCAAACTACGCCCTTGGAAGTGGCATGCTTCCTGTACCTAAAAATGGTGTCCCATATAGGGTGAGCCACAGCCCAGTAGAAATACACTAAACCAACTATAAACAATGACTAAGATAATAGCGTTCAATGGGTGGTCCACACTTATATTCCAATTTATATCGTGTTACAGTTTCACGACAATCATGTCCATGTTACATTCACTTTCCGTTTCTTATCCAATTCTCAATTCATAACTATGACTCAGAACCTGGTCAAACAACCTATATAAGACAGACACTCATATTAAGCATTTACATTTCGCAATAGATAAGCATACTAGTTATATCAGTACATCAACAGATAACCATACAAGCTGTATCAATATATCAACAAATAAGCATATTAACTGTATCTGCACTTCAATAGATAAGCATATGAGCTGTATCTGCATAACACAATTTTCGGTTTAGAGGTCCAACCCATTTCTTCCAATAAACCTTCCGGTTTAGAGGTACAGCCCCTTTCTTCCAATAAGCCGTGGAGTACAGCCCCTTTCTCCTCCCACACAAACAATGTATATAAACAGTTATCATATACAATCAATCAATACATAAAGTTAATGTATTATTCCAATCGCTATATTCAATAGTACATTTAATCGATTAGTTTTAGTTTGCCTAATCATCATGCATTGTCTACAACAATCAAGACTATCCTCTACTGATAGCCCAAAGCAGTTATTTCTAAACAGAAAATAAATGCACCAAATGGATAAAATATTGACATTTCAATTTGGT